TGTGTGAGCAGAACTCTGACACCTGAAACTGAATTTGAATCATTACGTTTGAATTTAAAACCCTCAACGTGAATAATTGTAATAAAGGTTTAAATGTATTTGAATGAAACTGAATTTGATATTTTAGTTTAATTCAGTTGCTTTATATTTGCTTCTCACTAAACATGCAGCTCTACATCTAGTTTGCATGATTCAGATTCCTGTTTGTCTTCAACTTATTCCAGATGAATATAAATCATTGGATCTCGTGGTTCTGCTCATGGTTCTGCTGCCACAGTCCAACGTTCAGGTGGACTTTGCATGTGAGCAGGTTTTCCTCTTCTCCCTCCCTTTTCCTCTATTATGTAATAAAACTCACCTGGTTCAGTCCTGGTTCTGGCTGGAGTCCTGGTTGCCATGGTGACAGCCCGTCTCCACCATAGACCTCGGTACCGAGCTCAGCTCCTCGCTCCACGTCGGGTCGGTACTCCATCTGCTCTGTGAGCCACATCTGTGTCCGGACCGCCGGCTGGATGGGAGAGCGTCGGTCTGCTGGAGGGGGCAGCGGGACGCCGAGGCCGCTCACCTGTCCACCGCCCTGACACACCTGAGCCTCCGGCAGAGCGCCGTAGTTCATGTCCAAGTTGTGGTGTCTGACCGGGGAGGACAGAGCCGAGGACAGGGGCCGGTCTGGCTCCAGACCCGGGGACCGGCCGCTGCGGTCGTACCGGTAACCGGGCCCGGCACCCGGTGAACGCTGCAGGAAGCTGCTGCAGATGAAGGAGGAGGACAGAGGCAGGTAAAGGTCCACGTTGGAACCCTTCCTGTAGCCGTACAGCAGTCCTCGGTCCAAAGAACCTTGTCCCTCCGGGCCGGACTGAAGTCCAGACGTCCTCCGGTCAGAGGACAGCTTGGTGAGGGACGACCACCTCCGGATCGGCTGCTGGTCCTTCATGTCCAGGCAACTCGGTGCAGCCAGCGGAGACCGGACCCAGCGACCCGAGCTGTGGGGGGACGCTGGCACTCTGAGCCGGGCTCCGGGTGAGGAGGACGGAGACGGCAGGACGGGGAGGACTGGGACGCCGTCGTCGTCCAGGTGATGCTGCGACAGCGGCAGGAAGGACAGAGGCGTGGTGCTGCAGCTGGAGTCGTCTGTGGAAACAGAAAACAGCTTCAACACGTCGTCGGACAGTTTTCTGTCTCATCAGTTACTGCCCAGTGTCACGTTCATCACTTCAGCTGGAGGAGACAGAGGATTTCTAAAAGCACAGAACCAACAGTTCTGACAGGAATTTCTCTGCAGGTAGGAGAGCTGTTTCACATCAGGAAACGTTGATAGAAAAAAACAAAACCTCAAGTGTTCTAATGTTCCCTCAGTGTTTGGCACAAACGTTCATTTTCTTTCTGAGTCGACTGTAGTGAAGCTCAGACGTTCTGCTGCATGAAGTGCTGCTGGGTGTGAAGGACGACCGCCGATCCTCCACCACGGAGAGTCTGCAGAAAAGCTGCAGAACCTTCTGCTGTTTTCAGTGTATTGATGAAGTGCTGGTTGATCAGTCAGACCTGTGCATTGTTC